GTTTATTTCATGTGTCTTGAGAAATCACAGGCCTGTAAGCCACACCTGTGAAAGTTGACCCTTCCTTCCGATTGTTCCTGGTTTTGTTGTACCTGCTGTAGGTAGAGAGCGACAGAACGGCAACTTGTAATTTCACTTTCTTCTCTAAACATTTGTAAACTTGCGTATTGATTTCGCCCTAATGTGTTTAATTCAATGGTCGGTCATTCTGCGGTCCTTGTGCTTTATCGGTCAGGATTGTTCGCCCATTTTCCTCGCCTGACTGGTTTTGTAATGTTCCTCAATCAGTTTGGGCCAGACTATTTAATTTACCGATCAATGATCATAAAATAATTGCTCGGCGGTTGGGTAAAGAAACATGGTGTCCACTTTCTCAACAGTCCCCTTTAAACCTGAGTTAAATTGTTCAGCACCTCTATTAATACGACTTGTATTTATATTTTCCCGTCAAAAGATCGATCTTTTAACCAGTATTAACAGTGTCAGAATAAATCTAATTTTCCAGGCCAATTGAGGCATTGAGAGCTATTTGAAAAGAATTCTTTTGTCCTGAATAGAGAAATTAATGGAAACCGCTCGCGTTAGGCCCCCACCATTAGAGAAAGTTTGTGTATTAGGAAGCGATGTGGATACTGTTTCCTTTTACGCCGAACACCTTGGAATAACATTTTTGTGATACCGGCAAAAATCAAATAGTAAAAGTTTATTTTACCTTTCTCTCTTGTTTAAGTAAATATTGTCCCGTATTTACAGAAATATTAGAAACGATGCCGCCCCTCGAATTGTTACTTGACCCGCACGCGTCCCCCTTGCACTTGTTAAAAGGCGTGATGATGAATAGGGGGTTTTGAAGCGTCGGTGCATACTTCATTCGTTTATATTTGCAGAAATTATATAACATATTGTCGTTATGAGATTAGGTATTTTCCGAACAATAGGATGTGTTCCAAAGACACCTTGATTGGAAATAACTTTAAGGAAAGTTATTGCTTTCAGATAAGAGATGTAGTTTTTTTTATGTAAAAATTAGATTATTGTCTTATAAATATGGAGTATTTAAAAAAAAACTGTTAAAAGTTTAGAGGATTCCATTGTGTCTGTTATCCCCCTACTGCATCCTTGAACTCCTCTTTCGTGTTTAAAACAAAATCAGAAATCCGACAAAACAGCTTTGCGAAGCACTTATCAGTCTTTCCACTTAGTATCAATATCAGCATTAATGTATTACCACGGGATCTGATACATTACTGTTACAAGTAGAGAGAGCAGACGGGTAACGGTGGTCGTTATCAGATTATCATCTCATTAACCAATTAAGCAGTCAGCCACCCATATTGCACCGCAGACACTATCGCTTTATTGTCCACTCGGGTTGTATTTACAGCCTGTTTAGATGAAGCGATGATAAAACCCAGACCATACCGCACCACTTTGGCGGCTTGTTTGCGCTTTGAAAAAAAAGGAAGAAAAAAATATAATAATAAGCTTTGATATCGCACAAAATGGTATGCGTTATGTTGAGGCTTACTTGAAAGTGAGGGCTTGATTTTTGTTCAATTATGCTAACATTCACAAATATTGTTTCTCCATTTTCTTTTATGCCACGCTGCATTCGCTTTCATGTAGATATAAAACCCAACCCGCTTTAACTTTATATCAACTAATATAGAAAAAACAACGAATTGGTTTAGTTGACTTCCCTTCTCCTTTGAGGTTTCATATATTTAGGTTTAAAAGCTCTATTTTACATAGCAAACATCTCGAAGAGTCTGATTACTTTAATATATCAATAAGACCAAACTATTAATCACAACCTAATAAAAATAAGAATGTAGGCTAAAAATAGTATGAATAAATGTATCCAAATATACATATTCAAAACTGTTAGAAGCTAGGTTTAATGAAATGTGGCTTTATCATTATTTTTTTATTTTGTGATAAAAGCTTTGGGGTCAACACAGGGTATTCAAGTTTCCATAGGGTGAAAAATATTTGAAAAATCATTAATAACGAAACTGCATTTTATGAAATATTCATTCTTAAATGCATCTTACCGCTATCATATTTCATAACCCACCCATTAAACAGGAGCAGGTAACTCACTGTCAAAAAACAAGAGCGTGCCTCAGAGGAAGCAGAGGCAGTAATAAATCACAATCTTCCACCATCCTTCCCTAGTCGCTTTATCGACCTCTTTATCATCTCCATTAAGCGTTAATGACTATCTTTTCTAAATTAAAAAGCTTCTTTTAAAGGCATCAGACTCTATCAATCGCTCATCATTATTTTACGCTTGTTTAGCGGACCCTGGAGGCGCATAAGAATTGATTAAAACTCCATCTTGTATCCCGTGAGATCGTGTCCATTAATTAAGGTTTAATAGCTGTGTGATTACAAGTGTTTGCAAGACAAACAATGCCACGCAGCGGTAATTGACTTCGAATTATGCAAAGCAGAGGGGAAATTTGTAAAGTGACGTTAGCTTGCGAAGAGCTCAATGTGGACGGCGTGAGCTCGATTTGGATCGTTGCTGTATTATTCTGGTGCTCTTTTTCGTCCGGAACATTGTTGATGGGGTTTTGAGGTTATGAGACCCTTAACACATACTTGTCCTGTAATAGCATCATTGATCTTTCAAAAAAATTGCGTCTGTAACAAACCCTGATACGGCAATGCAAATAACGTGTATTGACTTAAACATGACAAATGAATTAAGTTAAAAGAAAGAAAAAGCGTTGTAATTATTAGCAGTAAACCTCGTTAATTAAAACAAATGTTCTTAAAATCCATACCACTGTTAATTGGTTCGACTTGTCTTTTAAAATACGGGTGCTGTATTACTAATTTAACAGACACTGTTACAGAATCATCAATTCATCCATGATATTAAAGTCACAAAAATAATAACCCAATGTGGACTTCGTTATTTTTAATCACAAAAAAATCTAAGTCTATCAGCGTCTGTTGCGGAGGTTCTCTTTAGTTCCTGTATCATAAGGTCCTCAATATGTTTTCCTAGTCAGATTGCTAATGAGCGCTAATTATACGTTAGCAATGCAGCACCCTTGAGCACGGCACGAAACGCGCACTGCCACAAGGTACTTTTGTGCGCATATTTCTGTATGGACTCCGTTCGACAGGCTAGTCGTGTGAGGATGAGACACCAACAAAAAATTCGCCAGGTCAACATAAATGTTCAGAAGCAGTCTTTGCCCGAGAGTGCTTTATGTTTCAGGTTTTGATGGCCTCCCCATCGCTCTCATTTGTATCGTATGTTATGTTTTATACATAATGACTATTCCATGATACTGGGATTATATGTAAAACTGGTATTATAAATGCTATCTTAAATGATTAATGGTTTTTGGGACTAAGTTCGAAAATTACTTTCCAGGGAATGCACTCTTCTTTTGCTGTCTGCCCCATTTCAAATTGGCTTTTATCAACATTGCACCCCAACCGCTATTTAGTTTTCCCGTTTCTTTCTTTCTTTCTTTCTTTCTTTCTTTCTTTCTCTCTTTCACAACGCCTTTCTTTAATACGTTCTCTTCATTTTATTTCATCTTTGATTTAGTGGACACAATGGCACCTAGAGAAAATATGGACAGATCAAAATGGACAGCAGTGTTGTGCACTGACTATTCCCCACTTGGTCAAGAGTTAATAGGTTACCCAAACAGTTATAAGTACCTTAAGAAGTTGTATCCATTTCCCGTATACAAACACGCACATATTAACGCGTATAGATCAGTAAATTGTGTATCAACCGACCATTTTCTAACACATAATTACACTTTCTATCTCCCGTAATTAAGTGTGTAATTTCAGATTTTTGTCCTTACTTCAATAGCCCGAAACTTCATTTCCGCTGGTTAACTATCCCCAGCGTTTAACTCGGTGAGTCTGTACTCCGTCACCGCGGTAAATGAATCTGTCCGAAATGACTGTCGTCTTGACACCTGACAAACTTGAGCGCAGGTCTGTTTAACTCGAAGACTGATGGAGCATAATTACCCCTGATTTTTAACAAAAGATAATGATAAGGTGATCACTGTGGTTTGCTAAACTTCTTTGTGTCAAGTGTCTCGGCTTGGCTTGTTGAGCCTTCATTACGACCAGCAATAGATCATTGTCAACCTCGTCAGTTTCATAATGGCATTGGATTCAGCTCCTCCCGCCATTTTAGTCCCCCCTCCTAAACACCCGTTTTATCAGTCACGGCTATTTTCTCCATTATCTCACCGTTAATAATATCACATAGCTATCAGTGGTTAGCAAAGGGAAGCCGGGATTCAAGAGTGAAGCGGGGCGTAGCAAGTTGTTGTTATTCTATTCAACTTGTATCCATCTAAGTTGGCTAACCCCATTGATATCGTCCCATTCGTGCGGATTAAGTTGCTTTCTTGCTTCACACCGTTTTGTAAGAGCGTTTCTGTTGTATTAAGAAGTGTTGTGTTCGTAAGCCACTTCATACGACACCCTTTTACTGATCAGGAAAATAAATCATCCTAAATAAACAGTGCCTTTAATCGAATTTGTATTGAAAGGCACTGCAACTAAATGCAATTCTGTTCAACTGTCCGTGAAGATTGACGTTACTTTTACTCTTTTTCATGTCAACTTTCGATGATGTTGCCTGAGCAATTAGCCACCTTAATTATCTTGCCATTTACTTTAATTACCACTGCCTATTGTTTTATTCACGCCCGATAAACAGTCATCATATTCGCAGACATGATTTATCCATTAATTGAGCTACACCGGTGATTAAACAAAGTCAAGTTAGTGATGAAAAATCTGTTGCCATTTATTGCTTCTTTCGAAAAACAGCGGCCATCAATAATTGAACAAATGTGTATGTATGAAACATTAACTACATCTTCGAACATACTTTTTCCAGCAACACGACTATCCTGAGGCGAAAGATCAAATTTCCGACCAATCAGCTTCTAGCTTTAATGACCCCGAGGTCGACGCCGACCAATCATGGCACAGAAGAGGTGTAAGTAAACATACTGTTCAATGATAGTGTAATAATTTAGGTAATTAGCCTATCACACGGCGTTAACAGCACAAATAGACCTCACGGCCTGCGATCATTGCCACAGTCCTAGAGACCTAGGGAGTTAGAGACCCGATGGAGAGTCAGTGACGGAGTGAAAAAAAGAGCCTGAGATTTATTACGGATTTTTACCCGAGTAGGACTCTACTCCCGGTGTTTATAAAGATTCATAGCCTATTTGGAAACAGTGACGATGCATCCAGTTGTACCTCAAGCAAAGAGACCCAATGGTTTTAGCATAGACTCCTTGATGGGAAAGGAAGCGAGAGCCGCACACACGCCTACATCGTCCAGCGAGGCCGTCCTGTCAAACAGAGACGGCCTAGGACTCGGCAGCAGCTTTCATCCCGTAACGTCATCCAGCACTTTACTCGGAATGAAAGGATTGTATGATCCCCAGGCCTTCCTCGCAGAGGCAGGGTTTGGATTAGGACATTTTGGAATGGCTAGCCACCCGGCGTTCGCGGGGGCTCTTCACCACGCGGCAGTGGCTGCAGCTGCCCTCCCCGCACACGCCTCTCCGGCCCCGCTTCACCCAATGCTCCTTGGCAATCCACAGCGAGAGCCGTTCCCTTTCTATCCTTGGCTGATGTCTAGGCATGGCGGATATCTGGCACACAGATTTGCAGGTGGGTTGGCTGGAAGGGATCCGGGCTCGAAAATTACCACAGTAATGTCGAATCACAATAGCTGTCCAGTTTCGTCAAAATTTTAATGTCTATATGATGACCAAAAATTGACTCTCTCGCCCGAAGATTAAAACAAATTATCAGCTAATAATCGGACGTGTTCTGTTTGAATGCACGGGGTGAAATGTGAGTCAGTGCTGGTCAGGGCTTCCTAATGATTAAAATATTCATACATCAACAAAGCAAAATGGGTTAACAAGTGAATGCTTAGTGTACACTTAGAAAAATTACGGGGAAAAAAGGCTGTCTCGATTACGACTGTCACACTTAAGTCACTAATTGCCTTCGATCGACGGCGTATTATGCAGTTAATAGTCGCTTTTAGGCGCGGAATTGATGATAAAACAACTAAAATAAAATTTTATTACTGTCGAGATAAACCTCAGGCTGAGCTATGATCGCCACTTGGTGTTTGCCCCGGGCGCCAGCAGCACTGGTTGTAAAAATAAAATACAAAGGAAAACGAATGAGCCTTTTACTGCTTTGACAGACTGTTAAAAGAAATTTTTACATCGCACAATTTTCATCGTCCACATAAAAAGCAAATATGTTTTTGTGGTTTGAGGTTTTTATCTAGATACTGAGACCCTCTTTGGTGACAATAAATTTTTGCTTCCTTTTGCCTTTTATATTAGAAGTCAAACCAAAAACTCTCCCAATTATTCGCGATTTTACTCTTGTTTACTAATTTGCCACTTTTTTCGAATCACGTCTTATATTCCTCATATAATTTTTTGAGCGCGAAGCTTCGATAGAAAGCAAAATGGTGCAATTAATATATCAAAAGAATAATGTTTATGAACAATTCTTTTGAATGTCTCCTGGTAATAAACGTATATTATTTTCATATGCTGCTGCATGTATTACCCAGTACCGCCTAGCCTTTTTTCTAAAATTAAAGTCAATTTTACGTCACAAATGTCTTCTGACACAGTGCAAACTGCGTTAAAAAATAAGATTTGTCACGTGAATAAGATGGTAATTTACTACAATTAACAGTGCAAGTGTAGTGACTAAAAGGGCATCAGATGGAAGCTTTAGTTCATGACTTTCAGTCATCGCAAGTAATTTACAAGAAATAGTCTGCCAGATTTGTTTCTCTTCTGCACATTATTAACATGAACTCGGAATTTGCACACTCTTATGACGATTTATACATAAGAGACGAAACCAGCAGAATATTTTACAAAATTCAAAATATTTAATAAGATAAAAAAAGGAATGGAATTAAACAAATGAAATAAAATAATGAATAAAAGATGAAATCATACGCAAATTAGTTGCTGTCAAGCTTCATCTCAGCTTTCGTGCTGTTTATTAGTTTGTTATATTGTTTTGTCAAATAATTGCAAGGTGTCCCACAAGAAAATGAATATATTTTCCTTTGGAGACCTTTGAAAAAGGCGTCAATAATTTTCTTAAAATGCAATCATAATTTACGTAATGGTGATGCAACAAAGACTGGGGAGGCATTGGGGAACTTGTATAACAGCGGGTAGATCCTAAGAACTAAGTTAATACAGTTTTATGCGCTGCTCACAAAAACGAGAGTCTTGAAGTCTTTATGCAATTGATTTCCAGCTTAGACTCGCTGACTTAGGAAAATCAGCGCTGACAATGCAGCTAGGCGCGTGTAAATATACCACAATTATTTACGAACGTAATTGGATTACCATATTCCCACTAACTTGTTTATAGACAAACAAATCTAATAGCATTTGATAAATTAAATACACGCGTATTTCACTACTTGAACAATACTTAAAGACTTTATTGACCACAATAGGAGTTGAAGAGTCTGTTGTTCTTCGATCTTCCCGCCTCTGAAGAAGATCATATTCATGGCCGAAAGCTGTCGAGTATACTCAGTGCCTCGATGCGGAAGTCAGTAATTTCAAAACGATAAATATATTAAATGCAATCAAGGCAGATTTCCTAATTTAATCAATTTTTGTTTGAGTACCTAAATTGAAGTAGCTGCTGAAAATGATCATCACCATAACAACAGAGTGTTATTTTTCTTTCTCCCTTTTTAAGTTCTATCCTCATAAAATGTAGCCTTTTTATGCAAAAATTTTAATTTTACTCATGCTTAGTTAATGTAAGATAAGTATGTTTATTTCAGAATAAAAATATCACAAACATAAACAAGATTCCATGTTAGGAAGAAATGCATGATGTATATCATTGAAATAAACTTAATTTTTTCATATTTGAAATATTCAGTATAAAAACACAAATACAAGAAGTGAATATATAACTTTATCACGCACAAAACAACTCATTATACATCCCATTGTATTTAACTTCATTTTTATGGACAGATTTCCTGTACATTTTAGGTCCCGAGACAAGTTTACTACTTCAGCCCTTCCGCAAACCAAAGCGAATCCGGACAGCGTTTTCCCCGTCACAGCTTCTGCGACTTGAGCATGCTTTTGAAAAGAACCATTACGTGGTGGGACAGGAGAGGAAAGAGCTGGCAGCTAGCCTAAATCTATCAGAAACACAGGTAAGTACTAGTTTGTGTTTTTTACATGAAATAATAATAAAATAAAAACATAAAGATGAAAAACAGCAGGCACATACTGTGGACAAAATTGACCGAGTTTTCTTTTTTAAATCCAATCCCCCATTTGACAACAAACGGATCTAAGTGAAAATAAAATAGGATATTTGTTTTGCTTTTAGATAAAAGTTTTAGTAGTTTTCAAAATGAATACTGAAAATAAACTGACTGACAGACACGAGTAAAATTTAGACCGCATGAGGTCACCACTGTACGGCAATGGCTTGTCAGGGGTGCATATTTGGAGCTGTGTTTTCAGTAATTCAGCTAAACGTTTTTCGTAAGAAAACCTTAATATTAATATTGATAAAGATCCCACCCTTATGGGAAATACTTAATTTTAAAAAAATGCACAAAAAGTAACAAAGCACGAAATTAAAAACTTATATGAATAATAACCCGCAAATGTGTCGGAATATGCTGTTCTTTAAGCTCTATCAGCCATGTTATTTGACGGCTATTGTTCAATTGCTAGCGGCAGGTGTTAAATGCTTCTTTGAAATTAACTTGCGCAGCTCTTTAATTTATCCATTAAAATCTTTTTAAACACAAACTACACTCAGTAGATTGGTTTATGGTCCACAATAGACAACGTTAACTTTTCACAGCGCAGTAGTACATAGAGTAACTGAAACTAAAAAACGAAACACTGCGTAGATATGAACAGAAATGTTTTTCTCTATTTCACCTTGGTTTTTATGTTAACTGGATTTTTAATGACATTTTACTTCAAGGTGTGGACAAACATTACCAAGGACCTTAAAATTTCAATCCAAGACATAAAATTATCACGTAAACTACTAGATGAGTTAACTTTATCGAATATTTATTTCAATTTGGCAAAGATTATGCAGAGTTAAGATTATTCTGACAATAAACATTTTTATCGCTGTATATTTTATAGTATCACAAAACATTATATAACCTCATACCATAACTAAGTTTATTCCAAATATTATAAAATCAAGAATGCACTTTTCAGTAAGCCGAAACGAGGAGGAAAATCAATAACTAAAATACAAAGCAAGGCTAATCAGCACTTAGAGTTGTGTGATAAAAGCGCTACTAATATTTTGATGACTACAATCAGTGACACTGGGGTTTAATTCTCAGCTTTTATATTCTATTTGAGGGTGGCATGATCTAGGTTATTAACGTGTAATCACGCATCTATCAGAGAGCTCGCTGGTACTGTCAAGAACCTCTCCAGACTGGGTAATAGAGATAACACACCACTTTACGGATCCGCGCCGATTTATGGATATGCTGTTATGGATACATCGATACAAAAGGCTGATCAAAAGCAACTTAGAGTAGAGAATTGACGATGATGTTATAGTAGCGCATCTTTTGTGTTGTTAGAGGGGCGTTTTTTTTTTTTTTTTTTTTTTTGAAAAACTCAATAAACCATATGCTATGAACCTAATGGTGTTCATTTCAGTTTGAGTTTTTTCATCATTTCTTTTCAATTGTACTACCCATAAAATACATAATTGTTTGGATCTTTTGAAAACACTGCATTAGAATAATGATGGCAGCTTTCAATAAAATAAAGAGCCACTATTTTGATGTCAGTGGAGGAAAAATAATGCTTTTAACTAACGCTAATGTAGCCCGTAGAAATAATGATCAACTAAATAGTTGCCTGTACCGTTTGTTTTGTATAGCGAGGGTACAATATAAAACGATTGAGATAATTTAACGTTGAAACAAGGTATTTTTTGTGTGTTATTTTGTGATTTTTCTAATCAAGCATAAGCTTCAAGTTGGATTATTTCTTCTATTATAGAATTTCCAAAATTTAACTACTGATGTTTTCCAAATACTCATCTACCAAATATACCATTCATTAAATTATTATCATTTTATTACTATTCAATTTGGGGAAATGTCGCCGGAAAGACGACATCTTGTCTCCAATCAAATCAGTTCTGTACTAGAGTAAAAAGAACAGAAACTGAAATATAGATGGGTGACCCGGACTAGAATTACCATGCAATTATTAGTTTTAATGAGATATGTGATTGTAAATTATGTAAT